TAATTGTACAACTTTAAGTTCAGTAACACTAGATTCAGAGTAACTCTGAGCAAGAAGCTAGGTCCCAATTTCCATCTGCTCTTAAAATGTCAATCTTGACTGAATCAGTACTTAAATAAAAGTTGTTGTTGTTGTTAGGTGCCATCGAGTCGGTGTCGACTCATAGCGACCTTATGCACAACAGAACGAAACACTGCCTGATCCTGGGCCAACCTCACTACTGTTGCCACGCTTGAGTCCCTCGATGCTGCCACTTGGCCAATCCATCTCGCTGGGGGGTCTTCCTCTTTTTCTCTGACCCTTCACCTTACCAAACATGATATCCTTCTCCAGCAGAGGAACCACTAAAATAAAATACCCATACTCTGAAGTTGATGTGTTAAATAAATGGTTTTAGTGATTATCTTCAATCTGCTGCAACTCATTTTTGGAAACGGACATTCAAAATAATCTTCTAATACATATTAAACAAAAAACTGCTACAAAATTTAGTGTCTACATAATTATAAACTACAAAGAGGTTGGATTTAAAATCTACCCAACTTAGTATTCAAGTATACAGAAAATAACAAACAACTGCTTTATTATTAAAAGTTACGGAACTCCATAAAGCACACAGAGCAATTTATATTTAACTAACAGAAGTTTGATACATATATTAAAAAATATAACATATAGGTTTGTATTAATTTTAACATTTATATTCTATTTTAAAAGTGGCAGCTATCCATTTTGCAACCTAAACTTATAAAATATATACATCCACCCTATTCAAATTTTCAAGTATAAAGATGAATAAAATGCACAATACGCATTTCTGAATATTGAAAGAAAGATGGTACCAACTAAAAATTCAGTTTTACTTGAACATACATTTAATTTTTGCCTACTGGCTAGTTAACCTAACAACCCATTCAAATAATTATTTTACCTCAGACCTGATAATTAAATTGCATTTATACAAACCAACTGTGGTTACTTAAAGAGCTTTGCATTTTCATGGTATCTGACAATAGCTACCAAACTCTTTTAAGAAGTCTAGTTTCAGGCTTTAAAAGAGAGGCAGGATTATTCAATCTTTCCATATGCCAGGAAATCTGACAAGTGATGTTAATAAAAGCAAAAGTTCAGTAAATTTGAAATAATGCTCTTGCCTTTGAAAAAAGTTTCAAATTAATATAGGATGAACACTTTCTCAAACTCCAGATAATACAAGCAAGAAATAGAATAAGACCTGAATCTCTTCTTCCCAGTCAACTAATGCTGCACTCAACTTGTAAAGCTGGAGCAGTTCTTGAGGTATACCAGCTTTTATTTATTCAGACATTATTTCCACATATTACATGGCTGCAGCTATTATATTGCTTTATTAATAAATAGTTTTTTCATTAAAAATATTCGTGTGATTAAGCTGGCAATTCTTTACTAAGTGCCAGTTCTAATACTAACATCTAAGAATAGGAATCACAATTAAAATTCATTATGATAACAGATTCCCCATCAACCTGAAGGACACAGAGTTAAGTTTGAGGATTATGTTTAGTCTATTGGGCTCTATTTTTATAGATACTGGCAATTGTTTTTATAGATAAATTAATATACAATATATGCTAAGAAAGTAATAATTTCCCACAAATAATTTATTTTAATAATCCAATATCTGAAAATAGCTAAAATTTTAAACAGAAAAAAACAAAACACTCTACCTAAACAAATTATTGAATATAGTTGGGCAGTAATTATGGTTTGGGAGATTAACCCTTGCCATCAAGTTGATTCTGAGTCATAGCGACCCTAACAAGACAGAGATGAACTGTCCCATAGTTTTAAAGACTGTAATTATTTATGGAAGCAGATTGCCACAGCTTTCTCTCTCAGAGTAGCAAGTGAGTTCGAACTGCAGACCCATCAGTTAGTAGCTGAATGCTAGGACTCCTCTGTGGGAGATCACCAGCTCCCATAAGTAAAATAATAATGTTCTATCAATTTCAGTATTTCAGAACATTAAACTCAGTAATTCATTTATAGCCAAAGTTAGCCTCAATTGATGACTTCAAATTGGGTATCAGAAACCCCATGTATTTTATTTGTAGGAGAGTTTTTTGTTTTGTTTTTAATTTGTAATACAAGTTTAATAATTTTCCTTCTTTCAATTCCCTAGCCTCAAAAATAAAGACTAATTAAGATTAGAAGTCAAAGAGGAAAACTGCTGAAAACAGCTAAAGATATATATATTAAGGAAAACAAAACAAAACCCAGGGATTAAAACAAAATAAAAAAACAAAAATTCGCAAGAAAAAAAATAAAGAAAGAAATCTCAAGACTACAAAGAGGACTGGGACCAGTAAGTACAGATTGAAACACCCTCAAAAATCTCAATCACACAAAGGCATTGAAGGCATTAGTGTAATAACAGAATACAGTAGCTGATTTTGGTAACAACCAGAAAAAGATGGCTCATTTCAGTTCTTAACCAACTTATATACACAATTATACATCAATATATGTTTAAGCATTCAGCTAAAATATGTACCAAACAAACTTTTAAAAGTGAGATCGAGAAATACAAGCAGCAGTAACCATAAAGGCTTAGAACTAGTGACACTGAATTCTTTATTTAAAAAAATTTGAACACATAGTACCTCCTCTTCTCTTCTATTTTTAGCAAGACGTTTTAACAAGTTTTAAATATCTCAATTTCCAGAAAACAAGCATTTAGAAAATAAGACTTGATTACCAGAAACCAGTAATATGCAGTTACATACCATTTCCATGATCACTACTCATTTCCATTATTTGTCAACTCATTTTTGATGCAATCTGGGAACAAATTAAGCAGTCCCCAGATTATCTGTTTTTGAATCTGAAGAAATTATTACCCACCAGAGAAATCTAATATACATTTTCTTTTATATATTTGAAATTTAAGAAGGGAAAACGTAGTAAAACTGTTCTAGTTACTTTATACCAATTGTTTATATGCCTAGTCAAAACAAGGATGAAGATCTTTCTCTAGTCTACTGCTGACTATACAAAAGCTATTTTCAGCATTGTCTTCTGGGGATTAGAATTGCTTTTTTTCTCTGCTAGCTAAAATAAGGAATTATACATTCTGAGTAAGTTCTTTAGAGGTGAATATTAATTCCTTGAGAACAGCCATAAAATGTGTTATTTAAAAATTTTCCTAAAAAACAAAATAATGCAATACAATCTCCCTTCAAAATCTATATAGCATTAATATGTAACGACATAGTTTTTTTTTAAAAAGGGCACCGAGTTCATGATCTAAACATGCATAAATAAGAAATTGAATGTATCATTGTTTTAATAGAATTTGGCAAACCAGAAGACTGGCCTAAAATAAATAAATAAATAAATAAAAAGGGAAGAGAGTCCATATTATTCTATATGAAATTATGTATCTGTAGGCCTATGCAGCAAATAGTGCCCCATGGAGGGGGATGCAGGGAAAAGGGAGGGATCATGTTCCTATGTACATTTTCTTGGTATTCTGGTTGTCAGTGAACAACACATCACAGAGAAAAATTCTTATTACAAAGCCATTAATTGCCCTTTCTAGAGTGATGACTCAGTAAACTTCTAATGTTTTTTTAACAATGTAACTTATACTTAACATTAACTTAATAATTAAGTACAAAGGTGTTTTCTATAAGTAATGAATGAATAAACTTTTGTCTGATCACAATTTTTAAATGGCTGGCCAGTCTTATTTTCCTACTCTTTAAACTATAAAAATGTGCCAAAATTATTTGGTTTTCTATTACTTTTCCTGTTTCATTTTAACCTATTTTATGGTATCTTTATGGTGAGAGAGAGACAGAGAGAGAGAGAGCAAGAGAGAGGTATGTTAAAATACTGTCATTCTTTAAAAAAACAAAAACAAAAATCTCAATTGAGTCTATGTATGACCTATTAATCTATAGACAAGCATTATTAATGTCTGACCTGGTATATTAATTGCTTTGGTAAATAAATGTTACAGGTCATTTCTTTATAAAATGATTTTAGTAAAAGGACCAGCAGTCTGGAAAATTTTTTTTTCCTGGAAAACAATCAAGTCAATCAGTAGTTTAGAGAATTATGTAAAATATGAAAATACATAACTTACAGCTTCAAATTTCCTATTAAAAGGCAGTCAAAAACTAAGAGTAGTTCAAAGCATTTCAAAAAACATTTTCTGTCTTGGTTAAATAGGCCAACTAAGAGGACTGATAGAGACCTAGTGAGAACATATGTATATCTTTAGTTAACACAGAACAAATGTGTATCGAATTTTTTTAAAAAGTGGTAGTTGTTAACTAGCAGTTTTATAAACAGTGTCCACAATTTGGTGCAGGACATGGATTTTTTTCTTTTTTCAAGTTATTTCTATAGCAGACATATTTTTGAAGTCTACCCACCCCTGAGTTCAGCAATTATACTTTTTTAGAATGTAAAATTATACGCCCTTAGTTAACAACATGTACAAAGCTATAAAATGTCATCTATACAGAGATTAAAAACAATACTTTAAAAACATTCTTTGCCAATTATTGATTGGATGGTTTTGCTGGGATGCATATTCTGAACCTTTCAGCCAATTAGCTTTATTTTTAAGCCCAAATTGATTCATATATTCACTGGAGGATATTTCAAAAAGAGCTCAACAATAAGGCATTAGTAAAAATAACATTGTAGTAGAAACAGATTTTGCATATGTGAAAAGATAATTTATAAAATACATTAATTGCTTTTTAAAAAGAGAACCTAAGTTGCAGTATCAGTAAGTTACTTAGCACTGAAAATTGGACCTTACAATAATTTTTTTTTCCTATACAAAAACTTTATCTAGCTGTAAGCAAAGTCTTTTAAACAACAACAACAACAAAAAAATCCCACCAGGAAAAAAAATGTATGATTGTGTGAGACAAATAAGCAAACATACCTTTTATAGAGCACTTTTGCCTAAATTTTAAAATAAAACTGTCCACACTCTTTTGTTAAAACATTAAGCCTCTGTCAAAAATGTATTTCTTACTTTAGGATACAGGATTGAAAGACAAGATGATACTTACAAGTAAAGAAAATTTACAAGAAAAAAAACTTGACAAAAGTTTTCAATTAAAGTATTGTAACATTCAAACTTGACTTAAAATATAACAAAAGAAACAGGATTGCAAACAAAAATGTTTATGGATTTTTCAAACATAAATAAATGAAATAGTGTTTAGGCAATAGGGCTCATGCTGATGGCTAGTAGGAAGTAACCGAGTGTAGTCTAGGAAAAATCTTCAATGTACAAATTACAATCCTAAATTATTGACTGCAGTAATTCAATTATCACTGCCATTTTTCTTACTTCCAAAATAAAGCCTTGATTAAACCATTCATAGCCTATATTACTCAGACTTTACTTCAGAGATTCGAGGAACTATATACAACAAATGAATTTATTTTCACCATAGGGATAACATATTGTATCTCTCTGCCAATGTTACTTCAAAACCTTCCATGTCAAAACAATTTGACAGCAGATATCAACAATTCAATAAATACGCAATGATCTTTCATTACAGTCCTTTAAGACGCATGGTAATTCATGCTGTTAACCATAGGATCACAGTGCATAGAATCCAAATATAAACAGTTGGGGTGACTTTCAAAGTAATGTTGGATCCCTCACTTTATTTATAATCCCATTATAACCGATAAGTTCAATTCATAGGCCCGTATCATGCATTAATCATGTGATGGCAGGAGTAACTGAAAACTTTTCCTCTTACAACGTCCATTGCCGGCAATGAACGTTCCATTCCCCAAAACCGCCAAGGAAGTCATAGTTATTGCACAATATGTGAGGACCTGGAACTTTTCCAAAAGCTTAAAAAAATAAAAATAAAAAAATGGAATTATATTTGACATTTCCTGACACCTGCATTAATACTGTATGACTAATAAAAAAGCATGTCAGTTGCCTGGACTGAACCAGCGATCAACATGCGCCCAGAATGCACACGAGTAAAAATGCAGTAAAAGGAAGTAGTCTTCATTGCCTATAGGTCACTTCCAGTCAAAGGTTAAAGTTCAAAGACTGAATGATCAAAGTGCTCATTTTCTCAGTAGGACTATCTTCTGCTAGGAGGATGATAATAGTGGCATCAACAAGTATCATCTTGAAGAAAAGAAAAAAAAAAAAAGATAATTAAAAAGTCAAGCATGCATAAGTTAAACCTACAAATTAGACTACATAGTTTATATACCTGAAAGTCACCCCCCATCCTGCAAATTATTTACTCTAATTTGTACTCAAAAGTCCTGGTGTGACATTGTAGGATAAGCACTGGACTGGTAACTGCAAAATAAGTAGTTCAAACCTACCAGTTGCTCCTCAGAAACTCTATACTGAGTTGGGACTGACTTGACAGCACTTTAACAACACACCTACCATATAGTGTTGGAAGAAGTGCAGCCATGGAGACCAGGATAGCCAAACATCATCTCTCATACTTCAGACATATTGAAAGGAGGGACCAGTCTCTGGAGAAGGACATCATGTTTGGTAAGATGAGGGTCAGAGAAAAAGAGGAAAACCCCCATAGATGGACTGAGAAAATGGCAGCATAAATGGGCTTAAGTGTGGCAACAATTGTGAGGTTGGCCCAGGACCAGGCAAGTGCTTTGTTCTGAAGTGCACAAAGTTGCTATGAGTCGGTATCAACTTGATGGCACCTAACAACAACAACATATAGTAACAAATGGATTAACTTGTATTCTTTGAGGGAAATGGTTGTTTTTGTTAAGTGCTTTAAAATGATGTATTAGTTAGTATGTTAGTTCTGTTAAAATGAATTAATATGAAAGTTCACAATTTCTTTTACATTTTTTCAAAGGGGTTGTTGGTGGTGTTATGTGCTGCGGAGTCGGTTCTGAATCATAGTAACCCTGTATAGGGATTCCAAGGAGTGGGTGGTGAGTTTGAACTGCCAACCTTGAGAATCAAACTGACCTCGTGGTCCAGTGCTTATGCTATAGTGCTACATCATGATTCTAGAGGGCTAGGGAGAAAAGATCTTATTTGTTTTTATAGACAGACAAAATTCAGCACACATGTATTCCCAAATTTGTAATGCTATTTCAGCATCAATCTTAAGAGAGTTCTTTTATAAGTTGCAATTTTAAATTATAATGGAGCTAAGAATAAATTTTCCTGGTGATTTATGCCATACTATTTAACAACTGACATACAGAGTGATAACAAATCATGTCTTCACACTACAAAGGAATTAATTACTCTTTACCAATTAAGGAAAATCTCCAAATTAATTAATAGTAAATGTCATTATTTCCCGCTAGGTATTAAGTTTTTCAGCATGAAAAGATACATATGTGAAAATCATTTAAAAAAATTCTTTTAAAAGCCCACCAAATTTGTTTAGAATTCCTTTTAACAGTCTCAGCACAATAAACTTACACAGCACAGAAAACCTGAGGTTCACGGCTTATTGTACAATATTTAGTTTACAAGATAACTGTAGGATTCCTTTTTTGAGTACTGATTATTCAACAGAAAGAAGTAAGTCAGACTGGTGGCAACTTCCCAAGAACTGTCACAGCTCTTAAGTAGAAAAGTCTAAAAATATCTTACAAACTATCCCGTGACAGGATCAAAAGATTGCTAAGAAAATTTCTTGGCATAAAGACTCAATAAAGAACTAAAAACTAGTAAATATCACTCCTATCCCAAGCAAACTAGAATATCCCATGATCCTACACTTTATGGGTAATTCAACAAAATCCTTTAAAATAAGAAAACCTTCAAGAAGAAACAAGGAGATAGTCATTTAAGTCCCACGTGAAGTATTTCTTAAATTACTGTGGAACCTGAATTGTTGTTAAGTGTCGAGTGGGTTCCTGACTCATAACAACCCTGTACAGGTTTTCTGAAGCACAGCTTGTGTGTCTGGAAGTCCAATGCTTATACTACAGTGCCACACCATGACTCCCTAAAATTAAAATGAATCACAATTAAGATTAATTGTGAAAGCTCTACGCTTAAAGATGGTCCTCAGCTCTAATAATAATAATAATAAAAGAATGTGTGTCAAACTACTGGGGATAAAAATACTAGGATATGAGCACAAAGCAATGAGGGGGGGAAAAAGTGGCAGATAAAATTCAATTTGGACATAATTTTATCTTGTTAACTAACCAATAAGCATGTATCTCCAAAAACGTATCATTTTTGATTAGTGGTACCATAAATATAGGACAATCACTGGGAAAGAAAGGCCTGATGATCTACTGCTTTAAAAGTATAACTACTGAAAAGCCTAGGAAAAGCAGTTCTACTCTGACACACGTGGGTCACCACAAGAAACTGACTTGACAGCAACAAGATTTGTTTCCTCCTCCCCCCACTTTATCGTAAATCCACAAATGTATTTTTATCAGATTATTTAATGCCAGGTTTCAGTACAATAGACTTTTACAGCCTTTCTTCCTCCTGGTCATCTTGGTGGTTACTCTTGGTTGGGGGGCTGTCCCACATCTAAGGCGAGAAGATGGTGGCCACAAAGAAGACAAAAAAGTCACTGGAGTTGATCAACTCTCAGCTCCAACTTGTTATGAAAAGTGGGAAATATGTGCTGGGGTACAAGCAGACTCTGAATATGAACAAGCATGGCAAAACAAAGCTGGTCATCTTTGCCAACAACAGCCTAGACTTGAGGAAATCCGAGATCGAGTCCTACGCCACGTTGGCCAACACTGGTGTCCATTACTACACTGGCAATAATACTGAACTGGGCACAGCGTGCGGGAAATACTACAGAGTCTACACACTGCCTATCACTGATTCAGGTGATTCCGATATCATTAGAAGCAAGCCAGAAGAGACTGGTGAAAAACAAATCATGCAATTTTCTTTAAAAAAACTGGCCAGAGCTTGTTTTAAAACACACACACACACACACAAAAACCAGACTTATACAGACTGTGCTACCAACCACCAATTAAGAAAATTCATGTGAAGCTATTATTATCCATAGCCTAATTCTCATTTTGAATTAGAAGTTTGAAAAAAAAATTAGCACAATAGTGAATAATCGCCATCAGGACTGACTGTGAGGGTTGGAAATGTAAAGGTAGACGTTTTGTAGCAAAAGGAGGGGAGTGGTTAACTTTACAGTCCAGGAGCGGAGGTCCCTTTGACAATCAAGGGAGAAGAGCAGAGTGCGGTACCCTACCCAGAGAAACAGTAATGCCAGAGATGGAGGCAGAGACGATGGCGTGGAGAAATGGAGCGGCTGGGGAATCTAGACCCAGAGAGGGAGAGGAACTGTGTGCTGACAACCGGGGGTCAGGCTTGCAGGGTATACCCTTTGGTTAGTTGATGATGCATGGAGGGGATTGTAACCATGGTAATGAAACGATATATGATAGGATGAATGTAAAGCTAATTTCTCCCATGTAAACTATCACATAATTCACAATAAAACACTTAAAAGGGAAAAAAAAAAAAGGATCACCTGTGGTGGAGGTGGTTGTGAGCCATGGAGTTGGTTCTAGTTCATAGTGTCCCTGTATAGGGCTTCCAAGGCTATAAATCTTTATGGGAGCAGAAAGCCTCATCTTTCTCATACAGAACTACTAGTAGTTTTGAACTGCTAACCTTAAGATTAGCAGCTTGATTCATAACCACTACGCTACCAGTGCCTTAAGAATCACCTGGAGATCTTATTAAAATACAGATTCTGATTCAATGTATCTGTGATGGAAATGCAAATTCTAGATTGGGAGGTGGCAGAACCAGAATGAACCAGTTTGAAGCCCTGCCTACCAGTCAAAGTCTAAATCTTCAAAAGAGATTAAATTCCTGATGATTCTTTCATTCCACAAATAAATATTGAACACCTGCTGTGTGTCAGACACTGTTCTAGATCAGGGTTCAAATAAGTTTTTTGTTTTTTATAAAGGTCCAGATAATAAATATTTTCAGCTTTGCAAGTTCCAAATTCTCTGCAAGTCATCTGGTCTCAACTCTACCATAGCAGAGTGAAAGCAGCCATATAGGCACTACATAAATGAATGGATGGTGACCATGTTCCAATAAAACTTTATTTAAAAACATTTTTTAGCCTATAGTGGATATAACACTGGTTGTTGTTGGTGGTTGTGTGCCCTTGAGTCAGTTCCAACTCATAGCAATCTAGTATAGGGTTTCTGAGGCTGTGTCTTTCTCACACAGAATGGCTGGTAGATTGGAACTGCTGACCTTGTGGTTAGCAGTCCAGCTCATAATCCACTATGCTACCAGGACCCCTGACACAACACTAACTTTCTTAAATACTGTGTATCTTCAGAGAAATAAGGTTATTATAATATAAATTCTAAAGATGGAGTACAATGATCTGATACCTGTACCCATAATGACTTGAAGAATTACAAGTAAGCAAAGTGAAATATTCTGGGACTATATATAATCAACATATAATCAAGAGTCTACAAGCAAATACTTCATTGCACAGACAAGTACAAGTCAAAGTTAAGTCCATTCTTACCCTAAATGAGAGAGTCATAATCATAACCAAGAAGCAAAAAAAAAAAAAAAAAATCTGTTAGCAGAAGGAACACGGTTTGGTAGCCAGATGAAAAAGAATTATTGGATACCAAAGTTGGCTCACCAAAAAATTAAAAAACAACCAAACCCATTCTGGGTCAAGACAAAGACCAAAAAGGTGGTGAAAGAACACAATATATTTGACCTCTTAGCTAAATAATCACATAAAAGACAGAAAAATATTTGTGGCAAGAATGCTTGGAGAAAAAAGAAATCTCATAGTAACAATTTATATTTTTTCTGGAACTGCAAAAGCTCCTCCAAAAAATTACAGTCTCAGATATAGCACATAAATTACCAGTTCCAAAGATGTGACAGCTACCTTGACTACCTTTCTTTACTGGGCTTCTGGGAAACATGAATGAAAGAGAACTCTATTAGAAGATGGTCATTTAGTTTTCTCCAAAGTAAAAGAACTATCACATAATATTGGAAAACATTTCCCGGGATGTCCCCAGGGATAGAAGACTAAAAGAAAGTTAAAATAGTAATAGATCAGTGAATATGAAGTTGGATCTGCAAAAAAGATAAAAATTTATCTACAGTTTTATTTC